CTTGAAAGTGGATTAGGTTATGCAGACTAGTTCGATATTGCTTATGATAGGGTTACCACCCGCTTTCTCCATTTTCTTCTTTTTGTTTCTAAAAAGAATTTTGACCTTCATCTCCTAATGTGGAAACCTTTTCCTATATATTGTTATCTACGTTGGAACTCCTCATTCATCTTGATGTAGCTCTTCAGTAGTAACTTATGGTATGGATAATTCGTTAAATCCTTCAAATTATACCCAAACTTGTTAAGTCAAATGAATCCGTTGCGAATACTTGTACGTTGTACCTGTATGAATACATACTTGCACCAGAATCGGTGTAACATAGGTGCTTTCCTCCCGCTAGATAGAGCGGAGATAACTCATGGAAAAGAAAACCTTCCCAATTGAGCTTAAATTTTTATTCTGTTTAGTTGTGATTAATTCCATCGTTCATCATATGTGGAACATTATTGAAAGCAAGTAGCAGTAGTACGAGATGACTTTGCAAGTATATAGGGGGATATAAATGGTATTATCATTGATAAAATAATTATTCTAACCCAAGCTTCAATAATCTCTTGTGACCAACCTAGCTTTAGCATAGATGCACTAAACACACACGGCCAAAAACAAAACGGGAGCTGGAGGAATGTTTCTCTCCCCACTTATTTTGACTTTGGCATGAAATGCAGACACTTGCTTCTACTGATATTAAACCTAGCAACGACGCAGCAGAAAATTTCAGCGAAGGGTCATTAGTCGAAGTCAGCAGTGATGAAGAAGGTTTTGAGGGTGCTTGGTTTACTGCAACTGTTGTTAAGCTATTAGATAATGGTAACTACCTGATAGAGTATCAGAACTTAAGAAATGACGATGATACCGCATTTTTGCAAGAAGAAGCTGATCGTTTGTATGTACGACCACGTCCACCTGATATTGGACCTTTTAAAAGCTTCAAAGTCCTTGAAGAAGTGGATGCTCTATACAATGATGGCTGGTGGGTAGGTGTGGTTTCTAAAGTTCTTAAAGGGCAGAGATACAGGGTTCAGTTTAAGGGGAACAATGAGGAGTTGGAGTTTAATCATGCTGATTTAAGGCTGCATCTGGACTGGATTAACGGAAAGTGGGTCACACCTTCCCAGGTACAGTTTTCTGAATGACTGAATTAAAAAAAATCATGAATTAGATTAATTTTTTTGCATGGAAGACCATGCATTTCTGTCCTGGGAAAAGATCATCTATAGTGAATTCTTGTATTGTTATGTGACATATTGCTGTTTTTGAAAATATATTATATATATATAAAATAAACTGGAAATTAGAACTGATATGGTTTCAGCGTTTAGGTTGAGAAACTTTTGGTTCTCTCCTCTGTGAGCAATTAGAATGAAACCCAATATGAACTCCGCCAGACCTTATTAACTGTCATTGTAATTCATACATTTTGGTTATGAGACAGAGTACATTATCTTAGTACAAAATCCTAGATCCTTTCACGCCAAGTTCCTGATCACCACACTATATGTGAAGGATAAAGAGAACCCTGTTGGATCCAAAGCTAGCTGCCATGGACTGCAATCCTCTTGTCCTGTATGGTACTTGTTCATACACATTTGGTTACTTCTTCTTGCACTAGCTGATAGCCACTAGCCCTTAAGAGTTTTTGTAATGCGCTTCTATGTCATGACAGTTTGTTGAGATTAGGTATGGCACAATACCCGGACTAACATTTTCTAAGAGAGATTTGGTGCTTGAATGTGAATTGTGAACTAGACTAATACTTCGATGCATGTATAAACTCCTTGGCTAACATCATTATTTTAAAGCTATTAACATACGACTTAGTTGTGTTGTATCTTACATTCAATTGACCAATATTGACAAACTTCTTGATTTTTCCAGGCGTTGAAGTGATCTTCGAGAAATTACAGTGTTGGGAGATTTGCAATGTGGATTTGTAGTGTAGCTTCTAAATGGTATATTGCTTTACTCTTAATCGTTTTTTCATAATTTATCTTGTAATGAAGCAGTATTATTGTGGTGTGATAGAAATGTACGTTAGATACATACTTTTCTTCCCTGTCTGAGTAGGAAAATCCTCAATTTGGTATCAATAGTATATTCTCAGAGCTTTATTGTTGTGGCCTAAAAATTGGTTTTTGGCTTGTTGATTCTAATGGTTTCCTTAGTGTGAAATTTCTAGTTTCTAGTTTATCTTCAAAAGTGGAGAGGCTGACCAAATTTTGTCTTGAGGTGTTCATCCCAATATGCATGGGTAGGCTTTAAGCAGTTTACACCAATTTCGTTTAACTTGTTCACAAACCAAAAACATTCCCTTTGATTTGTATTTCTTCGGAATTTCATTTTGATGATCCATCCCACCAGCATAATCTATCCTGAAAATTGCCCTTGTAGGTAATCTTGTTAGTCAGTTCATGCATAGGACCCATTATTCCCTCCTTAAAGCCATAAAAAATGTATGTAAACTATATGCAATCATTTGGTCCCCAGTCTCCTCATATCATATCCTAGCCTGTTCTTTTCAACATGCATTTATGCAATGTTGTGCTACTTTGTTGCTAATTTAGTGTTTCATATGTAATCTATTCCCATTGAGGTTGATTCAAAGCACTTTATTTTTTTTGAGAATGAATTTTCAAAGCACTTTATTAAGTGCAGTATGTTTTAAAGTTGAGCCATATCTAATCTCTCTTTATCTTTGTCTGTAGGTTTGACGGATAGTGTGATTTTGCTTAGGATTGTAACTTGTTGGGAGCCTCCCCCCAATTACTCAAGGCCTCCCATGAAAATAGTAGCTTGTACGTATTCTACATAGGATGTGTTCCTGCTTGGATTTAAAAAAATTGTCCCAGCAAGCATATGAAATGAACTATGTACTCCTTCAAGGTAAAACCTTCAGGTCTCTCCATGTCCTGGGATTTTGTTATCTTAACTTCACTTGTGTGTGTTGTTGTGTAATGTAAGCCAAGTCTATGGATAATTTTAGTTGTTGCAAACTTCTATACCCCTGGTAAAGTGATTGCTAAAGTAATCACTTCATATTGGTGTTCCCCTCCCACACAGCCCACTCAAAAGAAAAGAAAACAAGAGAAAAGACATGAAAGGTGAGAGATTGGCATATTGCTATTACATAATTGAAGGTTCCAAAGGAATGAGCCTTGTATGAGTAATGCTGCATTTGAGAAGGGAAAAATGATAGTACTGCAATTTCATTGAATTGAGAAGGCAAGATGAGATGTGTATAATAAGAAGTTCCCACTTCTCAGTTGGATTGCAACTCAAACCACTTCACTACTGCTGAAGGGAGTACAATCTAGGTATCTTTCTCGCATACTGGTTGAGTTTGCATGAAGGGGAACCTTGGCGTAACTAGTAAAGTTGCTGCCATGTGATGGGAGGTCACGGGTTCAAGCCATGGAAACAGCCTCTTGCATAAATGAGGCGTAAAGTTGCGTATAATAGACCCTTGTGGTTCGGCCCTTCCCCGGACCCTGCGCATAGCGGAAGCTTAATGCACCGGGCTGCCTTTTATACTGGTTGAGTTTGATCCCTAGAGATTACTACAACAGAAAAAATTCTCCGTATGTATTACTCCTATGATTGTAGTTCTTTCTTTGTTGATGTATTGTCAACTAAGAAGTTAATAGAACAATTATAAGTTATAACCGAACGAATAAATTACAAATAATGCACATCAACCGACAGGCTACCAAAATATATGATATACTCCTATATCACAAGCTAAAGGTTTGATCACGGCCTCTTGATTACGAGATCTTAGCCTATAAGTTAATTGAACTTTGCGTCCCAATAAATATGTCAAAAGTTCAAAACTATCACTCAATTAGCATTACCTCTTTCCTTTCCATAATTAGCATTATTCTCAATAAGACAATAACCAAGAGTTATATCGTAATTTACTTTCTGTACGAGCTACTTTTATCCTCTTATTTTCCCTTTTCCAAGAAATTTCTTAATCTTCGGATTCTTTTTATTATTATTTGTACGATAATTCTAATTCAGGAAGCTGATCAAATTTTGGACAACTAAAACGTAGCGCATTGATAAAGTTTATATCAAGAAAGGTACTACCTTTTTGGTATATTTCAAGAAGAAGACTGATTTGCCCATGTCTTTTTGAGTTACGATACAATTGTTAGGTAAGTAATAAATTTAGGACATCTACTTCAAGTCTAAGCAACTTTATTCTATTCGATCTGGTTACACGTATCCATCTTTCTTCATTTTTTTTTTTTATACGATTGCAACTATTTCTTCTACTCTTTTAAATTTCTTGCCGAGCTCAACTTTTTCAGCTACCAACATATATAAATTGTGTTCTTGACACAGTCGACTCTCTAGGAATGCCTGTCTAACTTGAGAATTAAGACTTTTCATGGCCATTATATGAAGTTGAAAGGCAGGAAAGACCAAGACAAGTAAGATTAGATGACATTTATAGAAACCTATGCTAGCTTATAAGTACAGTAATTATTAACTTCTATATCAAATCTTTCTATCTAAGTAGAAACAGAATTTTCTATAATCATTTAATTAGAAGGATTGAATAATTGGATACCAGCTGAATCTGATTGGCCACTACAAATTTAAAAATGAAGGAAAATTCTGAGAAATCTTTTCATTGTGATTTTTTTTTTTTGTTATTCATTTATAAATATTGCCTCATCTCAAATTATGCCCCATTTATAAGTTTTTTCAGCAAGCCGATAAGTTAGAAAAAGATTGCATATAACATGTGGTTTAAAATATAATGTCATTGCTTATATCTGGCAAAGTTGGGGTTTAAGCAAGAAAAGAGGCGGCAAGTACACAAATAGTGCTATCTAGAAATTAATCAATACTTTGTGCAATTTTTAACTAAAAATTTCAACTTCATAATTCTTAAATAGCTGCCATTTAAAGTTGTCACCGGGTATCATTTCTATAGAAAAGTCTTATGGCTCATCCATGTAAGACAGGTAGAGACGAGGAAAGGCATATTATTCAATGAAATACTTCGATTAGTGGAAAAATAAGCATAGTTCCACAGATTCTCGAATAAGATGTCATGATCTTCTCAAGAATATACGGTCAAGACTCAAGATTTAAGTTTATTGTCACCAAATTGAACGAGGAGAGGATATAATTAACTATAATTAACCACTTGAGTACATCAAGATGGATAATCATCATCCTCAACTTAAGTAGTACAACAACTTTTTGAACAAAATAAAACTTTCCCTCATCATAAAATGAAACTTCTTTCTTTCTTTCTTAATCAATAAGCAAAGATAATTGGATTAATTAGTGCAAGCAAACAATAATTTTCTTACACCTCTTTCACTTCCACTGCAGCAGCAATCACTTCTTTGTTCTCCTTGTTCACAACTTCATTCACTTCTTCTTTGACTTCTTCTTTCTTAGGCACATCAATCTCAAAAGCTGACACAGGAAAAGTCCTAGAAAGTCCAGATGTAGCCTTGAAATGGATTTTTCCAGTTGGTGGATCATCCACACAGATTTCAGTAAGTGTTAGCCACATAAGGAGCTCTTTAGCTTTAACCCCAGTAAGTTTCTTGATCTTGTTTTGTTCAACAATGGCTGTCACTTCAGCTCCATATTGAACCTGCCTTCCAATTTTCTCAAACTTATGCTCAGTTTTTTTCTTGGATTTGAGCCAAACAAATCCTGTATCCTTCACATAGCCACATTCTAACATGTCTTGCATGGGAAGTAGGCCATTTGGTAAACCCATTTCTGTTAGCAAGAATTTGGACTTTTCTTGGCAGATATCATTTCCAGTGTAGAATTCTGAGGCACTGGCCCTGATCTCATCTGTCACTAGAGACATTTTTGCAAATTTTTTGGGTTTTGGCTTACAATTTTTGTTATAAAAGAGATGGTGTGGAATGAGATGGAACGAAAATAGAGGTCCTAATATATAGATGGGAATATAATCATTTACCCTTGTCTTTTGCTCATATTTCTCAAATGCCCTTACAAATAAATCAAGGTCGAACAAAAATGGTAAGTTTAAGGGTCATCCATGTCTAAGCAAGCGTTTTGACCATAATATTTGGAAGTTTTTTTTTCTTTTCAAATATGTGTTTGTTTATAGAATTAATTTTTTTTTTTTTTTTTTTTTGATTTTGAACAC